TAGTGACGAGTGGTGTTGCTAGATTTTCAGTTTTATCAGTTCTTATTGAGTTGTACAACACTAACCATTTGATAAACATCTGAAGTTAGGCTGAAGAAAGGTCTTCATACCTATCATATTATCATATAACATACATTATTATACTCCAACTTCGCGCTGCTCTTCTATCTCTCCAAAAACTGTTCGCCAAAAATAACCTTGCAACTTTTCGTCGTGCCACAAAGTATGCAGCATAAAATCAGGGAAAAATAAATCACAGAATATGATACCCCAAAGACCCTGCAGCCCCCCTCAAACAACCTCCGGTGCGCCCTTGCGTGTCGCCTGAGCTGTTAACAATTGTTAGAGCCCGGCCAAACGGTTGGCCAAGCTCTCTTCGGTTGACCCACAGCGGCTGTTAAGTGGCAGTTGAGTCCCGCCGGCGATTTGCCCGGCAACGCGTGTGCGGCAAGTGCGTGGACCGCACCCCCCGCCCCGCCTGCCAACTGCTGCGCTCTTGGTATGACGCCCACGCGTGAGATTTAATTATGCGGTTTTTATCGATTTGACACAATTCCAGCAGCGGCTACTATTGTTTTTTTTTCTTTGTTGTCGACTTTCTCAGCTGGTTGCCTTCGGCTTAAGCCAAATACTCATATCTTGATAATTTAAGACGATGTTTCGAACTTAAACCCAAGTCGACACCCGATACTCACGTTATTCCGTGCTCCGACATCGGCGCCCAGCTCAATCATGCGATCCATTATCGCCGTCCTATTGTCCTTTGTGGCGTACATCAGCGGAGTCATGCCCGTGTTCTAAAAAAAAACGCAAAGGATAATCATCAGAGATTTCAGCGTGTACAAATGCATATTAGGAATGTATTTAAAAATGAGTTAAATATGGAATTAAAATGTGTGTGGAATTAAAATGGGTCGTAGGGTCAATATGTGCACATATAACTTCAAGTATTTATTCAAATTTGTTGTAGAGCGTTAAAAATAAGTTTGAAGCCGATTGGGCAGAACTTAAAACGTCGCCCTTATAGCCTTTCGCCATTTATCATTCCAGAGGGGCGGACTTTGCGAGAAGTCTGTAACATGTCTCAAATTAATTTGGATGTGCGTTGAACTCCAATCGGTCAGTCAGTCGGTCAGGACAAACAGTTTTATATATACGATACAAAATCACAAATTCCTTCATGTTCTTTTCCAACACTTATCGCTTTATCAAAACTTAACAGATTTCTATAATTTTCATCATGATTTTTCCTTCAAATTGCCGCGTAATATCATAATTAAAAAAAAAAAAATGTCTTCGATTTTTTTCTGATTCTTATTTGTAGGATAAGAATTCAGGTTAAAAAAAATATATAAAAGTTAAATTTTTTAATCGGTTATGCCCTCCGAAACTAGTATTACGTCCCGTTAAGAACTTAATTCTGAAATGTTTAATTTTGGTTCAAATTCATGCCAAAAAGGTTCCTGAACTGAACATATATTTTTGTTAAATGCCATTTGGTTCCACAATTTCTTCTTGTTTGCTGAATTTTTAAATGTCCCAATTTATAATTCTCATAAAATTGGTCACGGTTTTTTTGGCGGTCATCATCATTATTATTATTATTATTATTATTATTATTCTGTTATGGTATACACAGTATATTGCAGTTTTCTCTTGTTTCTCTCATACAATCGTTGATAAGCCTTCATTTTCACCTCATTTGCTTGGCGCAATTTTCATAATTAAAACCAAATCAAGTCCAAAACAATAAGTATTTCCTAACCTTGTCTGGCAGCAAAAATATACCAAAAATAGTCGCCAAATAAGCTAAATTGGAACAATATAGAGAAAAGGCAGTGTAACTGAAATTCACCCTGTAACTTAATTTATATATAAATAGGTTGTATGATTCATACATTTTGTCTTCCAAATAAAAAATATATTTCTTGTTATAAAACTTAATTATTTATGTTGAAGAAATAAGAAGAAACAAAGATATCGATAATTAAGATAGGCTTCTAAAAAGAATTTGCATATTTAAAAAATTGAAATAAATTGTTCTTAATGAAAGTACAATATATTTAAGATCGGGTGATCTGGGTCAAAATTATTTTTTGGTAAGAATTTTGTTTTAGTGTAAAATTGCTGAATTCTTTTTAAGTACAATAGTACAATGCCATTTCTTTTATTTTGCCCTGAAACGACATTGAGCATGAAGTTTAAGGGTTCAAATCTTCGAGAAGTTGAAAAATCGGATTAGTTTTAGGTAGATGTAAGAAACGTTCACATAAAAAACAAAAAGAAATGTTAATAATATATTCTAGCTCAAATTTAGTGTGCTGCACATACAATCCCTTGCTAATTTGCATATCTACAGGGTATCATAGCTGTAACCAAAGTTGTATGTTAATGATGCCTTTCGCACAGCGAAATAATTTGCATGAGGCAACCCTTGCCCTGGTTGCTGCTTCCCTCTTAACTCTTGTCTCGACATTCCAATTGGGCATTTACATTTTTGGCTTCTATATACATATATACATATATATTTTTTTACCCTGCCTGCATTTTATTGTCAGTCGCCGCGGGTGTTGTCGTGCGGCTGGGGGGGGTGGGCTGTGCTTAAGACTTGCAACGATAATTTTATGTCAACGACTTTTGTGTTTGATATTTTTATGGTAAATTGAAATCGAAGCGCTTCAATTTCGATGCTTTATGAGTTTATTCCGCGGGGGGTAGTCGGCGCAACTTGTGGCAGGACGTCGCCTGCCATTGCCTTGGCAGCCAAACATTTGGGCCGCGCTATCAAATAACACACACACACACACACACACACACACACACACATTTACACTCAGCTACTGTGTCGTTATTTTGGCTGGTAAACAACCAACAACAACAACAACAATAACTAAAATGCCGCCTCCGTTGGAGACGTTGATAAGGGCGACGTCGACTTACATTTTGCGCCGCTTTCGATGGGCTCCAAAATTGATTTTACAAAGTCGTCTACTTATACCCTCTCTCTCTCTCTCTCTCTCTCTCACACTCGCTCTCTAGTTCTCTCTTACCATATCGAGCACTCCGGCGAGCGGCATGTGATTGCCATCTTCACCCGCATTGGCCACATATTTCTCCAGTTTCTTCAGCTCCGCTTCCATTGGCGTCCATTCGCTTTTCATCGCCAAGGCGAGCACCTTGTTCGCGGTATCCCTGATGGAGGCACCCGCGCTGGGCGGCTTGGGCGCCGGGAATAGATCTGCATCCTTTTTATCGCCATTGCTGGAGCTATCATCCTTGGGATCCGAGTCGGCCTTGCTGGCGGGCGTGGCACGTTCGCTGGTATTCGCCGAATCGTCCGGTGGACCCGTCAACGAGGATGGGGTCTTGCGTCCGACACCAGCGCCGCCAGCGCCGCCGCCGGCACGCCCACCGCGTCCGCCACGCAGCGGCTGCGACATGCTCTGGATTTGAGGCCTAACAAAACGCTCGACCACTGGCCATTACACAACCACAACCGAGTAGGGCAGTAGCTGCCACTTGATGTTGCAACTTGCAGTTGCAACTCGATGTAGCTTCTGCTTGTAAATCGAATTGTTTAGGTTTTGTTTTATAATTTGATATAATTTTTTGCGCTATTTAAACATTGTTTGTGGCTTGCATTTGCATTTGCATTGCACAATTTATTTTGCTGGCCCGCCGCATTCTACCAATATTTTGTTGTTGCCAACAATTGGCATTTTCATTGGCAACACACGGAAACAACAAACGTTTCTTTGGGCCCACTTTTCGTATGTTTCCTGTAGAACAACAACAAGAACAACAACAACAACTACACACATCCGCTTGCTATTATTATTGCTTGGGTTTCCTTTGCTTTCTTCGCTTTCTTCACTTTTACTACACAATTTTATATGTTTAGCCTTATTTTTATGGCTCCCCTTTTGGGTTGCGTGTGCGTCTCACTTTAGCGGAACCGCCGCCGCCGCCGCCGCTACTTTTGGCTGCTTTCTGGCCAAATGGGAAAAATGTTTGAGTGAGTTTTGAGCGAGTGCAAAGCGAACCAACAACCGTTTGCCACGAGCTTCTGCGAGTTTCTGATTTGCCAGTCGAAATTATTTTCGCCACTTTACCTGGCAAGCCCCATCGACCAGCACCTTGGCAACATGACGAAAGAACGTGCCAGTGGGACGTGAGGGAGAGGGGCGTGGGGGCACCATCAAGTGGCGTCCTCTGAGGCGCACGCGTTTGTTTACAATTGTTGATTCCACACCTTTCTGAATGCCTGACACACTTTTTGGCGCGAAAACTACAGCGCGAACAGCTCTCAACTTTCGTCAAGTTTCTCAGCCCAGAGATGGGTCTTGATGAAATTGCGACAGTTCTTAAGATTCTTTTATACATATCCAATTAATTGGCATTCACTTCTCAAAAGGCAATACCAAAAGTTAATACAATCTATCAAGAAATCAGAGGCCTACCTACAGATTCCGATTGGGTTAATATTCGGGCATGACCAAGTATCCAAGTTTTTGAAAACTACTTCCCTACACTCCGTTAGCATAGTTCAGAAATATCTTAGAGTAACTAACTTATTTCCCAGCTGAATCCGGAAGTCTAGCTCCATCTAAGCCATCATCCGTTGTTAGAGGAAACCTTTTAAAAAGTCGACGAGCACAATTATTATTGCTAAAAGCAATTAGCCTTCGATTCTAATCGGGTTTCATCGTTGTTCAGTTCCCTGGTAGACTAGGCAACTCGAAGAACATACGTGCCGGGGATTATTTAGTGTAAAGTTCAATTTCTGATTCAATCACAATCAAGCTATAAACTCGAATCAACTATTTGACATGACACTGCTTTGAATGTGCTCAATAAATATTAAAAAAATCAAAATTTATATAAGTGAAGAATAAAAAAAAAAGCGAAAAATGTCGCTACATATGAGGGGGAGACGTTCGGCCAGCAGGAGTTCAATGCGAGCCGCGAGTTCAACTCGCAGCGTATTGTCGCGCAGGGGAATGTCGCGACACTCGCGCACCTCGATGCGAGCCACTGACGAGGATTTGAACTTTGAGCCACCGACCAAATGCCATTGCCAGCACTGTCAGATGCGCCATCCGACACAACAGATGATCGACGAGCGGGAACGCCTCGATAATAATGAGCCAGATGTGCTGAGAGCAATCGATGACCAGGTGGACGATTTGATCCAAGATCTCGCAAAGATGGTCAAGTTCAAATCGGTGTCCGTGGAGCCGAAGTTCCTTGTGGAGAGCTGCATGGCACTCGACTGGATCGCCAATCGATTGGCCCACTTAAAGTTCAGAATATATGAGCATCAAATACCCGACGATCCGGCCAATTGCTTTCGGGAGCCGCATCAGAAGGTGCTCTTCGCCAGATACTTTTCCTCGCCCACCAAGCCCACGCTGCTGATCTATGGCCATTTGGATGTGCTGCCCGCCAAACCAGAGTGCTGGCTGAACGATCCCTTTGAGATGATCCTCAAGGATGGCCTGGTCTATGGTCGGGGCGTGACCAGCGGCAAGGGCATGCTCGTGGGCTGGATCCATGCCATCGAATGTTGGCTCCAGGTGCACGAGGATCTGCCGATAAATGTCAAGTTCATTGTGGACATGCTGCACGAGGTGGGCAGCACCGGACTGCAGGACTATGTGCGTGCGAGGAGCGACTTCTTTGTGGATATCGACTACATGGTATTCGATGTCAACTCGTGGCTGAACAACGATCGACCCGTCATCTCCTGCAGCCTCACCGGCTGGGCATACTTTGGGGTCGAGCTGCGCGGCGCCAACAAGAGCCTGGAGGGCGGCCTGGCCGGTGGCCTAGTATTTGAGCCGATGATCGATATGTGCCATGTGATGAATCGTCTGGTCAACGACGAGCACGAAATCGAAATACCCCGCATCGAGAACAATGTGCGGCGTCTGTCGACACCCGAGTGGCATCTGCTCGAGACGGCCGACTTTAGTTCCTATGAGTACAGGGAGGAGCTGTTCGTGCGCCGGCTGCGGCACGATGCGAATAAGGTCGAGCTGCTGCAGAAACGCTGGTGCAAGCCGAGCCTGACCATGCATGGGATCGAGGGCGCGGACAGTCGACCCGGCTGCAGTCGCATCCTGCCCATGAAGGTGCTGGGCAAGTTTTCCATTCGGCTGGTGCCCGATCAGGAAGTGGACCAGGTGCACATCGCCGTCAAGGAATATTTGCTGCACTTGAGCAACGAACTGGCTCTTGGCACCACCATCTCCGTCCATCTGATCGATTACATGGAGCCGACCAGTTGGTCCATGGAGAGCAAGCTAATGAAAGCCCTCATGCGAGCCGTGGGCGAAGTCTACCAAAAGGATCCGATTGCCACACAGGGCATACCCATTTGTCTGCCCATTGCCAATGTGCTGGGTAAGCTGATCAGGAAGCCCATCATCCTGATGCCCTTCTACAAGCGCAGGGATCGCCATCACCAGGAGAACGAGAGCATTGAGGAGGACAACCTTATGCGGCACACCAAAACCTGTGCCCGCCTCTTATATGAGCTCTCCTTCCTCCGAACCAAGTGCAAGTGTGATCTGATCAATAAGTATTGCAACCTGCGAGGCGTCAAGGAGAAACTGGATGCCGATCGTGGCTATGATCTGCCAGTGCCTCCCAAACGCAATCTATTGACTAGCTTCTTTAAGTTAAAGCATAAAGATCAACCGGCTCCAAAGAAAGCGCCGAAAAGGAAATCCTTGAAGAAATTCCTATGTTTGCCATTTAGTTTCAAGAAACCCAACAAGAGGAAGAGGGCCCCTGCTGCTCCAATATAATGCCTGTGGAGTCTTCGATTCGGATTCATCCATTCTTTTTAATTATCTGCTTAAAGGATCTATGTCTGTTGTCCTTTTGCTTCTGAAAATCATGTGAGAATTAAATAAGATTTACAATCTTTGGTTAATATTTACTAAGTATGTTGATCGATATTTGATTGTGATATTTTGGTAAATATTAACCAGACATTGCGAATTTATGCCTTAATTCATCTATTTAACTTGTCTCTGTCAACCATTTTGTGTCGAGGGTACACTTAATCGAGAAAGTCAGGAATATCAAATACCCTTGCGGACCTTTGCCTTACGGCATTGCAAATATATATGAGAATAGTGAAGCTTGCAAATGCTGAGTTTTATGAAAATATCTTGAAATTGACCGTTTCCCATAGAGTTAGCTAGTTAATATAGTAGTGCGATGAGGCTTGGCACATGTAAAAGCAGCATAGTTTAGAAAGTAGGTGCCAGGGTTGGTCAAGATATTTTGATAAGCCACAAATATGTTCATACAAGTACCTGCATATCGATAACTCATTATATGATATAGTAGTTCGATTCGGCCAGTTCTGACTTATGTACTTCCTGCAGCAGAAAGGTGAACCTATACAAGGTTTCAAGGCAATAGGCCAACAACTGAGAGACTAGTTCGCATATACACGGACACACGGAAATACGGATATAGCTATATTAACACGGCTTTTGATGCTGATATATAATATATACACTTTTTGAGGTCGGAGCTGACTCGTTCTAAGCGTTACATTTTTAATGGCAAAATTATAGTACCCTTGACAAGTGTATAAATACATTAATGACAGGAAATCATAGAATCCTACACTACTTACATTGAAATCCAATAACATCAGTCAGTCGCTTATTAAAAGTGCCTTGTACTAGTATTAAGAACATTCTTAAGTTTTAGTTTGTAGTTTTTTATGCCAGCCATGCTCAAGTCTGTACAACATGGGAAGATCGAAAGCTTAGTGAAGTTGAAAACCCAAAGCTTTCAATAAAGATGTGCCATGCTAAGCACGCCAGTGTTGTCAACTCAGCAGTTTTCTAGCTAAAATTGGCTGTTTTCAGTGTTGGTCAGCTAATAAGAATTTAAACTTTCAGATGATTTGGCCTCGCAAAACCAGTTTATTGCCGAATTGTGTTCAAAAAGCAAAGTCAGCCATTTTTTTTAGTATTGTATTTAGCAACTTTTTTGAAGCGACAGTAGGCAACACTGGCTCCCACGCTAGCAGTTAGAATTAATTAGCATAAGATTAGTTTTAAGACTTGGTCACAATCATGTATCTAAGTAGAGGGTATAATTACCTTCCTTGAAGCCCAATTAAGTTAATTCAGAACTCAGTATCGTGAGCCTATCATACCCAATTCCTATCAACCTTGCGTCAAAACTATGTGATAATAATTTGTTTTAGCTTTCATCTTTACTTTCGAATATAAAATTGTTAGAAATTTCCAAGTTGAATTATAGATAAATAGAACGTAAAAATGATTTGCTGGGGTGAGCGCAATTGCTGCGGCGTTTTCGTGGATCGATCGAAATATGATCGCTGTGATTGTTTGCGGGATACCTGCATCAGGGACTTCCCGCCCGAGGAGCGGATTACGGTGAAAGAAAGCGAACTGGATGAGGTGGTGGATCGTCTATATTTCAATAACGAAGATTATTTACACGAGATGGACGTGATGCTGGCGATCAAGAGCATATCAAACAATCACAAATTCAACAAGGAATCAAAACAGCTCGTCGATCGGTTGGCCCAGCGCCTAATTGAGCTCAATTTCGATGTGGAGGTGGTGGAGGTAAAGCCGCAGGGCATTGATAAGCCAACGCATTATGTGATCTTCGCCAATTATTTTTCCACACCCGCCAAGAACGTGGTGCTCGTCTATGGGCATGTGGATGTGCCAAACGTGAAAGATGCCGATGGCTGGACGCAGCATCCCTTCAAGCTAACCCAAAAGAATGAGTATCTCTATGGTAATGGATTGACTACCTCGAAGGGACCCGTCTTGTGCTGGCTGCAAGCGACCCAGGCCTGGATGGAGGAAACGGAAGATCTGCCGGTGAACCTGAGATTCATTATCGACACCTTCGACGATAACAACAATGAGCCCCTGCGACGAATCATCGCAGAGCGGACGATTTTCTTCAAGGCTGTCGATCTGTTGATAACCAACACCAATCTATGGATCACACCGGTTCTACCAATGCTAACCACCAGCCACAGCGGCTACATTTACTTTGAATTGGAGGTAACAAAGAAAGTCGAGCCCCAGCGCAGTTCGACAACAGATGAGGTCGACCCAACCGTTACCACGCCAAAGAATGATCCCCTGGTGGAGCTGATCCTGCTAATGAACAGCCTGACCGATCCGAAGAGCGCCCTGTCGGAGGGTCTGCAGCGTCATGTGCTGCCCGTGACACACCACGACTGGGACATACTCTGCCAGGCCGAGGTGGGCATTATGGAGTACAAGGATACGTACGGCGTGACACGCCTGCCCCACGAGCAGTCCAGGGCGCTGTTCCTCAAGCATCGCTGGTGCATGTCCACCCTGGTGCTGCACAGCGTGGATCATCGCATGTACTCGAGCCAGCGCGAATTCTATAAGCCCAGGCGCATAAGGGCCAAGTTCTCCGTGAAGCTGGTGCCCGACCAGAGTGTGGAATATGTTACCTTTTTGGTGCGCCAGCATTTGGACTGTGCCTATTGCCGGCTCAAGTGCGAGCATCCCGCCTCTCTGCGGATCCTGGACTCGCTGAAGCCGCTAAATGAGGCACGGAATGCACCCTTCAATCTGTCCGCCCGCCGCGCCTACGAGCGAGTGTACAACGTCCAGGCGGCCATTCCGGATACCGTCAACGTCTGCATGCCCATGATGAACGAGCTGCGCAAATATTGCACCAAGAAAGCGCAGGTTGTGGGTCTGCCCTTCAGCTCCATACACACGCGGATCGGAAAGCCGGACGAGGGCATGCGCCTTGAAGAATACCAGAAGAATCTTGAGCTCTATGCGACAATGTTATATGAGGTGGCGATCGTGCCGCCCGAATGCAAGTGCACCGAAATCAAGGACTTTTGCTTCGAAAGGGGCAAAACGTATGAGCACGACTTCATACGCATGATGGAGCCCCGAGTGGCCGCCGTGTCCCACGTCCTCTACGAGCTGGACGAGACTGAGATCGAAAACATGCCGCGCGAGGACGAACCCTTCCCCAACATGCGCCAAATGCTGTTGGGTCAAACAAAGAAGAAAACCCAGCTAGACACATAAAGACCTCACCTGATTACCATGTTTGGGTCGTTGTTTTTTTCATTTAATTTCATTTAATTTCTCTATGCCCTGATAAGGCCAGACACACGCCACACTAGCCCAATAAAATTTGTACATATACGATGCTAATGCCCCGAAAATTGATAAGAAATTCTTAGATTATTAATTTGCCAAACTTAAAAACAGAAATTATACTCAAATTATTAAGTAGCACGTTTAATGCTCCCAACTGAGGGATACTCTGTGTATCTGGTGCAAAAACATTTCGGGAAAAGTGGAAGAAACACATATATTACTTATGTAATCTATATTGGATATCACCAGTAGACCTTATACCCTAATTTTGTCTCTGGTTTAATTATTTCGGCATAGACTGATACACATACCTTTGTTCTTAGGAAAGTGTAAAAATCATCCCTCGCTCGAAAGACCTAAGTAATGCGTTCTGTAACAGACACACCCCCAAAACAGCCCTTTTCGTTTTAAGCGAACAGAGTATAAGACTAAATAAAATTCTATTAAAAATATATACCAAAAATTCCAGACAGCCAAAAGGTGGGCAGACCTAAGCCAACAATAAAATATAGAAAGTTGATATGATAACGAGTATAAAGAGCTTGATTTTCAATTAGCAAATCAGAAGAGCTACGAATTATTTCAGATAACTATCCTAGTAATCATTTTAATTATTCATTTGTTTAAATTGTGATTGTTTAATAGTTAGAAGTATCCGTGGATGTTCATACAAAATTTGGAGAAGAAAATACATAAATTATTAAATCATAAAGTACTTTTTGCTATTTTCTATACTATACTATGCATACATATTTTATACTATGCATAAATCGGGAAATTAGAGTCGAGTCTGAGAACGAATAATTCGAAAACTTTTAAAGCAACCAATTACGATGAATAAAAATTTTTGTTTGATAAACTTACAGTAGAATTAGCAGAGCGAGGCCAATTATTAGCGGATCTCATAAAAAACTGCCGCTAAACAACCAACAAAGCTTTTTAAATTTAAAAGCACAAAAAACGAGCGGAAAACAAACCAAAAAAAAAAAAATAAATAAATAAAGTCGGTCGAAAAAGAGCACAAATGCCGGTTTCATAAATTGAAGCGAATAAAAATACAAACATAAAAAAAGAAAACTACAAAAACAAAAACGAAAAGCAAATAAAGCGACGTCGCAGTCGACGTCGGCGTCGGCATCGACGTCAACACGTGCCGCGTGCAGAATGTGGGAACAAAATACAAGCGATGATGATAAACAAAACAAATCGCAATAAAAATAAGGCGCCGATCAGCAAACGAAAACTAATAAAACATAAATAGCAACAGCTAACAATGTATAACACAAGTATGCACGACTGACAAACACCCTGCAAACTGAATAAGTATTTAAAGTAATTATGTGTTTAAAATATATAAGCGACTAACAAACACCCTGCACACTGAATAAAAACCTATACTAATTGTGTAGAACCCTGCCCACAAATATTTTGTGATAAGTTTAGAGAGCATGCACAAGACGCAAAAAAAAAGACTGAAAAAATAACCATGTATGTATATTTTTTTGGTTTTTACTCAATAATTATATATATGTATATATAAATATTCGAGTCAGTATTTATGGGCTGTCTAAGCCTGACCTAGTCATTAGCTTTAAAAGTTCATTGTTTAAATACAATCCGAGTGATGGGGAAAT